AAACAATTATATCATCAATGTATATAATGCATATATACAACTGTAGACCTGGTAATGCTAATTCCATAGGTCTTTGAAAGGTTGCTCGACTGTTTATCATGCCAAAAGTAGTAACTAAAAATTCAAATAAACCATACTTGGTGCAAAATGCAGTTTTTGGAATATCTTTCTCATGCACTGGTACTTGATGATAACCAGATAAAAGGTAAGAAGTACTAAATAAAGTTTCCCCTTCAACTGCGTCAATACATTCGTCAACTTTTGGAATAGGGAATGCATCACTTTTAATAATTTTATTAACACGTATGTAGTCAATACATGGTCTAAAACTACCATCCTTTTTCTTGGTCAATAACAAAGGACTTGCCCGTGGACTATTTGATGCCCTGATAATGCCCTGTTTTAACATTTTGTCAATAGATTTCTTTTCCTCATCAGCATATGCTAATGGGACCCTGCGAAATGGCTGTTTGACTGGTTTTGCATCACCAGTATCTATTTTGTGTTCTGCTAAATGTGTTTTCCCTAGATCAGTGTCATCTTTAGAGAATACATCTTCAAATTCTATTAATAGTTTTGCAAACTGTTCTTTTTCATTATGACTTTTATCTTTACTTGATTGGGTGTAAAGTGATTGTAAGTGTTCTGGAATGTTTTTGCACAAGTTTGTGTTACTGTTTATGTGTGAAGTATTTGGCATGCTCATTTTTTCATTATTGAATGTTTGTCTTGTCACTGTGTTATTTGTTTTATGCCCAATTTGCAAACGTCTTACTGCACTGTAATTGTTTGATTCATCTAAGTTTTCACTTTCTAATATTATGATGGGTTGTTCATTAATGAAATCGGCTTTACCAATTACTGTGTCTTGATTTATTGACACTGGTGTGTTAAATGGGTTTAACACTCTTACTTTTGCAGTAGGGCTTTCATTTATGTCTGCAATACTTGCAGCCATTATCAAAGGGAAATTTTGTTTGAAATTATCAGATGGCTCTATAATAACTGTGCCTGGACTCAAGTTGTCATCTGATTCTTTCCTATCTATAAACACATCAATAATATGTTCTGTTAGACCTTGTATTACATAATGATCAGCTGATCGAACATGTCTGACATTTGTTTTGCATTGATAGTCACATAAAATATCCTGTCCATTCAGTACTATCTTGTTTCCAGAATTTTGACTAAGTATTATATCAGCTGGTGAGCCATTATTATTCAGTATGTCCATTCCAAGAAAAGCATCATCTTTAATTTTTGCAATAATCACCTCTGACTTAAACTCTAATGGACCAAGCATAAGATCTAGGGAACATTTCCCAGTATCATCTATTGGTTCACCACCTGCATGTAACAGTTAACCCTTTTTGTACAATTTTGGTCTTTCTTTTTCAGCTATTTCATTAAATATATTTTCTGATATTATTGTTTTCTCTACCCCATTGTCTAAAATTAATTGTGTTTTAATTCCTTTAACAGAACCATGTATATATACTGTATCTGTATTTGGAAGACCCCTGCGAATTGGCAATTTGATTGATTTATTTGTTTGATTTTCTACATTAATGAGATCATTATTATTTTGGACACTCCCCCGATCTCTAAAGTATGCCCTTTCTAGTTTAAATCTTGTGAATAAGTAATTTGATGCTTTTCTGCAACTGAAACTTGTAGTTTTGGACAGCTTCTTTTAAAGTGACCTATTTCCCCACAATTGAAACAGCTTTTATTGTCGCTTTAAAATCTATTATTCCTATACTGATTGTATTTATTGTATGAACTGTAATACTGTCTGTTGTTATCAAATTGTCTGTTTTGCTTTAAATGTGCATCATGTGTTCTCGTATCTAACTCAGACCGTACTATTTCTAATATCATTTCAGTGTCAAACATACCTGTGTTTTGTCTTGTGTTAGTGCTAGTGTCTTGTTTAAATGTCTAATGTTTATTTTTACCAGGTACTGCTCTAGCATTTATTGTGTCATCCTCAGAGTCACTGATAGAATGCATGTTATTTATTGTGTTTGTATATCTGATGTCATTATCATATGTTGAATACTTGTGCTTCCTTTGTTTTGTTTCTTGGAAACATACAGCTGCATAAACAGCTTCATCAAAATTTTTGGGGTCTTTTACAAATTCTACATGAAATCTAGCCTTTTCATTATTCAAACCATCTAAGAATCTTCTTAAAAGATCTTTGTGTCTAGTTTTGCTATCTCTATTTGAATGTGCTTTATCATAAAGTCTTTTCAGTTCAGCAGCATAGTCTTCAACAGACTCACCCTCCCATTTGATTTCTATTAGTAAATTTCATCCAGAAAGTTTCAACAATTCTAAATCTGCTATATGACTCTTTGCATAATAACCTATAATTTGATCTAACACCCTGTGACAATTGACCATATACAAAATCCCCTGCTATGCCATGTAATCTAGGTAAAAAGCTCATTAAGCTTTTCATCATCAGACCATTTTTGTCTGTTTCCAACATCTTCAAATCGATTAAACCAAACTGCCCATGTGTCTTTGCCAGTAAATGGGGGTAACTTGGGATTCGTTTTTGTTCTACAACTCTGTACTGAATTTGTTATAGAATGAGACTGATTTTCACCATTGTCACAATCACTGCTATTAAAGCTTATATCAGTATTATGGTGTGTATATCTGTAATTTCTACAAAAAGCTTGAGATGTTCTGTTTATATTATTTCTGTTTTGATTCTGTCTTTGAGTATTTTGCAGTGCTTGTTTTAGCTCCTGTGTAACGGTATTTAAGGAACATTCTAGATGTGAAACTTTATTCTGGTATGAAGTTGCTATATTTGTCATTTGAGCTTGAATCATATTCATAGCTGTAGAAATATCATGTTGAGTGTTATTTTGTGTATCTGAATTCTTACTATCTGTGTTAGTTCTCAATGTTGTATTTTGCAAGCCATTTGAATCATATACTATATTAGACATGTCGCTTGATGTGAATGCAACATAATCATATACAGGCCTGTTCAGTGTACCACCACCACTATACCTGTGACCATCATTAAAGTTAAACATACTACTGTTTTGGATATCATGTATATCCCTTTGTGAGTTATTGTGAGTTACTGTCTGTCTGAGACTCATTATAATCATTGCTTTGTGTGCCTTGCACACCCTTACTATAACCCTGTGTACCTTGTACACTAATATCATGTCCACCCCTACATGCATATGTATTTGTTCTCAAATATTCATCATTATTATGATAATTGATTGAGTTATCGCTCATGTCTAGCATATTTGCATGACTATCACTTTTATCTATATTATTTTCATTGTCAGAATGCATCAACAACTGTGCATTTTCTCTCTCAATTTCAATAATACTATTTTCTTTTCTAGCCTTCAGCCTTGTTCTCATACCTTCTCTCTCCTTAATTTTTAAATATTTAAATATTTTTTTCTCTTCACAATATTATCAACTATATATTTTTTTAAATCTAGATCCTCTACAATGTATTTAGACTATTATTCTATTAAATTTATATAACGGTATTCACAATTTTAATTCTATTTAAATTTAAACCTTGACCTCTGCCACCAAAAACAATGTGGCGACTTTCATATGATAAACTTTTACTTTGGTAGCGCATTAGTCGCAACACTGTTTGGGGTTTAAACAATCTTGAAATAAAGGATACAAATAGGATAAGTCTTTGTTTAAACTTTTAAAATGTAAGAATATTTATTGAACATTAAGAACAAATAAATAAAAATAATTATACCTTTAACATCTATCAATATTCATCTATAAACTATAAATTTACTTTTCACAATTTCTATCATTCTCAATAAATATCTCTGTTAAATGTTCTTTCTATTTTATCCTCTAATATTCATGTATCAATGTTCTATACTTCTATACTATAATATATAGGTCCTCTAACAAAGTTGTTCAAATTATGCCCCTGGTGTCAAAATTGGCAAAGCCCGGAGGCATTGATTATCATTATGTACACATAGTAAAAACAGAAACTCAAACAAATGTTTTCTGAATTGGAGAAAGCTACAGCTAAGATATTCGACATAAAATGTTGTTTGGTGGACCTGTATCAAGATTGTTTGAATTAAACTCTTGGGTCAATATTTTGCCTTGCCCATGGGAACAGTGACCTACTTTTTTGTCCTTTGATGTATAGCCATGAAATTAGGACAATGTGCACAGTTTTAAATGTAAAATTAAACTTTGATATCAAGTGACCTAGATTTTGATGATGTGACATACTTTGATGTGCAGCTAATGCCAGCTATGAAATTTGAACTATTTAATGTAAAGTGAACTTTGATATCAGCTGGCCTAGATGTTAACAAAGTGTCTTACTGTGTTGTGTCATGGAATTAAGGCCATGTGAAATATGACCTTCACCACCAAATTCACTACACTCAACTGCATTGATAGATTCCTACTCTGATCTTTTATTAACCACTAATTAGATAGGTCAGTGATTTATGCATTATGGCAATCTTCAATTGTATAGAAGCAAAAAAATGTGTTCCTAGCGATGGCATAGCATTTTTCACAAATGCAATCTTGTTTTGAAACTTAAGATATGACTAGATGTCAGTCTGGTGATTACCGCATGCACGTTTTTGTTTTTCTATAATGTTGAAAAATTTGGTTGCTATGGCAAAAAAATATGGTAATTATAGTATGAAAATATTTTCATGAAACTTGAAATATGGCATTACAGCCTAAATATTAATCATTGATAATAAAATTATGTTCATGTATGATTGCACCAAAAATGTGAAAATGAAATAGTCTTCATAGAGAAATGGCTCATTGCAATAAAATTGATATTTGATGAAGGAAATTTGATCTGATGTACTTGAGATATATTGGGCCACTGTATGTTGAACAGACTGACTAAAACTACGAATATTACAATATACAATAGGCATGTTTGACAATTACTGAATAAAACACAATTATTTGTATGATAATTTATGTTGTAGGAGATAAAAAGACTCCAAGTAGAAGATTCTCCACAACAAAAGCAGCTAGAATATGAAAAGGCTAAATCAGGTATGTTATAAATATAGAAATAAAAAGTATAAATCAGGTATGTTATATTATATATGAAATTGCTAAACCAAATATGAAATGGCTAAATCAGTTTAGTTTATATTTAGAATATGTAAAGGCTAAATCAGGTATGGTATGTGTAATTTGTAAAGGCTAAATTGTGTATGTTATACAGAATTTGAAAAAGCTAAATCAGGTATGTTTTTGGAATAAGAAAAGGCTTAATCAGGTATGTGATATAGAATATGAAAAGGCTAAATCAGGTATGTTGTATAGAATATAAAAATGTCTTTCTGTTGCCAAGCTTCAGTGTATTAAATGTTTGCTGACTGACTGATTTGCTTTTATAATTCAAGGCCTCAGAGATGTGTTCCTTTTCTTTAATATTTTTTCTGTGATAATTACTCATTGATTTGTTCTTAACAATTTGAATCCATATTATCATATAAATTACAGAATCGCAAAAAAAGCTGATAGAACAGTATCACAAAACCCTGCTGCAGGTCCCTACAATACCTTTACAACCAAAAAGTAAAAAATGTAGCTTTAATGAGATTTATATTAGACCCACAATTATGAGGGAAATAAAAGGAGAAAAGGAAGAGATAAAGGAAGTAAAGGTTAAAACAATGTCTGAAATGTTCACAAAGAATGGATTCCCCCAAAAATCTGTATATGTTCTAGGAGATGCAGGGTCAGGAAAAAACTAGTTTTTGTAAATATCTGGTCAACTGTTGGTGTTTGGCACATTTTGAGCAACATGAAGCTGACAGTGAAAATGAAAGGCATGGGGGCGGAAATGAAAAACATGGAGGTGACAATGAAGAACCTGGAGGTGATAATGAGGAACATGTATGTGATAATGAAGAACATGGAGGTGATAATGAAATTGAAGGTGAGAATGAAAATGAAGGTTACAACAAAAATGATGAGCATGAGGGCAGAAATGAAAAACATGGAAAGGACAGTGAAGAAAATGGAGGTGATAATAAAGAAGATGGAGATGACAATAACAAACATGAAAATGATATAGAAAGTGAAGATAGCAGTGGGAAATATGGAAATGACGATGAAAGTGAAGGTGGCAATTACAAAAATGGAGGTGTTTTATTGAAAACATAAAAAAATGAAGCAATGAAAAAAAGGTTGGGATGGAAAAATAAATCATGGAATACCCTTTTTTAAAATGAAGGGTAAATGAGGAACATGGAGGAGATATTGAAAATGAAAATAGTATGTGTGACATTAAGAAACATGGAAGTGATCATGATGACATTCAGGATGAAACTGGTGACTTAAAAAAATCTAAATTCGACATTGATGACTCTGAATATGACAGCAAAAGTTATGAACTTAAATTCAATGGTGTAAAAGAGATGAAAAAATTTGAATTTTTTATTTTTTATATTCCCTTCTAGACAGTATAAACATTTGCACTATTTGATGATAATGTCTTTCATAACGTTATTAATATGATATAATGTTATAATCACACTTCCTTGAAGAAGTACTCCTCTAGGAGTTATATTTTGCTGGAATTCTTAGAGAAATGGTTCTCGAAAAAATGTTCCTAAACAAGCATTTCTTTAAGGAGTACCTATAGTTACTATCTTTCACGGCCTATTGGGAATATTTTTCATTACCATTAAGTATCAAGTGATTGCAGATTGAACAACGCTGAAACTGAATAGGGTTTGAATTAATAAGTGTGAAAGGAATATTGTTATATTTTAGGGACAGTCTTCACAATTAAATGTTTAGAAGACATGCTAACTTAAGAAGCTAGAACTTTAGGGAAAAGCTCAAAAAAGGGTCTAAAAGTTTAAAACAGGTACCAATTATGCTGCAACAACTGATATGTCTATGGTTTGATGGTAAACTCGATAAAACCTCAAGATGTGCCATCTACACTGGTATGTTAGAATTATTCTTCACCTGGAATGACATGAAAACTACAGGAACAAGTAATCGACTCATGACAGGTACCAAGAAAGTAATCCTCCCTCAATATTTAGCAGATAAAACCAAATTAAGATTAAACAGCAATTTCATTTATGAAGTGTCAAAGTTGGCTTTTGAGACACTATTTAATTGTCCTAAGAATAAGTCCTTGACATTTAACATTTGTATGTTTGATGAACTAGAAATAATCAGGTGAAGTGAGAGAAAATTGCTTGAAACTTGGAATAATTACAGAAGACGAAATGTACCAATTTATCAGTATCAGAACCACCATCATGTTTCTCTTTATTCACAAATCAACAGGAAATGTTATGTTGCAAGTTTATTTGTGAATTTCCTGTTAACAGCCCAGTATTCTGCTATTGGTATCAATTTCAAAGAATACAAAAATTTTGCTTTCATAAAGAGTTTAATAGTACAGGTTTATAAACTGTTATGTTAGGAAAGTTCTATTTTCACAAATGTTTCAGTGATGGACTGATGATATACACCTTTTGTAATTTTCTTTAGGGAACCAGCATCTTGAACAAAACATCTTTCTGTTTTGATTTAATTGTATGAAGCAGCATGATTAAATTTTTCAAAACTTTAGCAACTTTAATTTCCTTCATTTGGAAAAAACTGTTAGAATGATAGATGTTGATGCACAATCCCTTTAAAATATTGATTTTGTAAAATTTAAAAAAAATAATTAAAAAAAATTTATATTATTAAAAAAATCTTACAAATTAAAGAAATAATTTTTGGGTTGAACATTTTAGTAAACCCCAAAATTTATAAAAGAGGTCTAGCAGATATTACCTTTTTACACAATTCCCGAAAATTTTAGTTTTCAGAATTTTAGGTTAACTGACAAAAAACTTTTCCCCTTTGAGATAAGAGTTTTAAGGACTTTTTAAACTTCATAAGAATAAGGTTTGGCAACAGAGAATTTTTTTATATTTCCTGATTCCTCATAGACATTGAGAGTAGGGTTTTTATATAAACAGGAGAGGGGAGAGTTTAAAATGATATCACATTACATCACCCTTAGGGGGGAAGGGGAAAATATGCTAAAAACAGTATGTAAAAATAAAAAATCATTATTTTATGTGGGGGTGATGACGGAACATTTTTTTATTTTTCAAAAAAAAAGTAAAATGTAATTTTAAACATGTTAACCCATGAGATTACTTTGTTTGTTTTTCAACAAAAAAGGAAAAAAATTAAATTAGTTAACTTAGTGTAAACTAAATTAGTCCATGTTAAAAGTGATGAAAATGTTTGGGTTTTAAATTTTTTAACAGTATATAGATACTGCATTTAACAAAATTTTTAAAACTAAAATTTTTTTTATGTTAAAAGGACATATGATTTTGTTTTTTATTTTCATTAAAAAAATATACTTATATTGTTAATTTTTCTATTTTTGTAAATTTAAAAAATGAATATAATCTTTTTGAAAATTATAAATATGCAAAATAATATTTTTTTATTGAAATTTAAAAAAACAATGTTCAATGTCAATGTAAAAAAGAAAAAAATGATTTAAATATCCCAAATCAATTTATATATAAAAGACAAAAAGGGAAAGGGTTTTTATTAAATATCAGTTAATATATATAGGTGGTAATAGAAATTTTTTTCCCAGCGATATATTATATGTTTAAATTGACTAAAAACAATAAATTGTATTTTTTATTATATATTTTTTCTCGATAAGATGAAAACTTTTATTGTTTTTTTTAAGAGATACCTTCATTATTGTTTCATTTTTGAAAATATAGAAAAAATTTTATAAAATTTAAAATTTATGCAAAACTTTTGAGGGACAAGTCATACTTTTACTAATAATTCAATTGGGAAAGGGTCCACTAAATTTTTTTGCAGATAGGAGGGGAATTTGAATTTTTCGGGTTTCTACTTTTTGATAAAAATCTTTTTTTCAATATTTTTGTTGCAAAATTTCAGACTTTTGCTAAAATACTAGTAATCATTTAAGCGGGACTATTCAAAACAAAGGAGAGCTACTTAATTTAAAAATGTATAATTTGCATCACATGGTTGAATTCCGCTCGCAATTAGTACTAAAAATTTTGAACTTGAAGGGAAAGGTTTAGATGCTTGATTTTTGTGGTCTCTAAAGATAAAACAACCTTTAAATCTATTTCCTTTTGCATATTTTGACTTTTAAATTCATGTTAATTTTGCATTAAATTTATATTCCATAACTATATTTGGGGAAAGGATTGAACTTTTGGCTCATATTAGTGCCAAATTTAAAGGGCACTGCCAAGGAACATTACTAAGACTGGATTTTGACAGAATTATTCCCTTGAAAAAGCACTAAGGGGTTTCTTTTCTGTTCCCCGGTAAAACCCAAAAGTCCATAAGGTTTTTCACACTATAAAACAGATTGACCCAAAATTGGTATGCCGCTTTTTTCAATACCCGAAATGCAGTGTCTTCTTTTCTTTTTGAGTAATTGTCCCTTTGTTTAAATTTCATACTTAATTTTTGTCCCCCGGGCATTCCCTAAAAAATGAAAAAATGGACTAAAACTTCATAATAAAATTCTCATTAAGAAGAAATGCAGTCCAAGAATCGGTCTCTCATTCTTTATTTTTCATTTTCCCTTTGTAAAATTTTTCTAAATTTTTTTCCAACCTTTTCTCCTAAAATATAAAACATCAATTTTAAACTTTTGTTTGATTACTCCAAATTTTTATGCACACTTTTTATTGACCTGAATTTAAAGGCTTTAAAAAATCCATTTTCAATTCCTCCATTTTACTTTTCCACAGTAAATGTACGGTATTTAATTTTAAAAATTTTTTTATTTAGCGGAAAGGGCATTTTGGGGGCAAAAATATGGGGGATTTGAAAAAAATATCCCTTTCCAACTGACAACATCATTAAAAATATTACATTTAAAAATTTTTAAATATTTATTAAAATTCAGATTTCTATTCAATATTTAAACAAAATGAAATACATTTTGTCGTTTAATTTGAATGTAACGTGTTTTTCACAATTTGTACCATAAAATATTTTTTAAATAATTTTATAACATGAAATGTTTATTGAAAATTATAGTACTTATATTCAAACATCTATTTAAAATTTTATTGTATCTTTAAAAAAATAGCTGTGTAATTTTTCAAATTTTTACAAAGTTTGATTTAAAAAAACCATTTAAACCAAAATGCTTCCTTTTTTTTTCAAAACTTTCTCAACTCAAATAACTCAATCAAAATTTTATTTAGTCTCATCTTTGCATCTTTACATAATTTAAAAAGTAAAACACAGATTTTTACAAAACAAGCCCCTCCCACATAAAAAAATTATAAGAGACTGTAAAATTATTAAAAAAATCTCTAAAATATCTCTAAAATATCTACTTTTAAAAAAAAAAATCAATATTTAAAACACAATCTAACATGAATTACATATGTATATGATCAAAGAGGTCAAGTTTGTGCCTGTCTGTCTATTAATTATATTACTATGACAATAATTGTTGTTTGAGCTAACCCTGTGTATTAATACTTTTTAATTCATAAAATCGTTTAGCTAATACCCTTAAAAGTTAAATATAAAATTCATGATAATAAATTCATTGGTCATATATCTAAGCCATCTTTTTTTTCATTTTAGTAACTAGTACAGTAATGATAAATAAGTCTTTTATATGGGAGTTAAATTCCAATTTGTTTACATTTTGCTATCCTAATCATATTTTCTTTTTAAACTCAATATTTTGTAAGTTGTCAGGTGATAAGAATATCACATGTTCTTAATCTGATATAACACATATTTGCGCTTTTTTTTTAAAAAATAAAAATATTTTAATTTTGAGGCTATGTGTTTTAAAACTTTTAATGTATATGATAGAGTAAATATCTAGTATTTTATAGAAATTTTGAAATGTTTTATTGTTACAGGTATATAAATTTTTATTTTTATTTCATGTTTGTTTTGTTATGTTTATGAAAACATGCTTTTTAAAACTTGGAATTTAAATATTAATTCTAGTACATTTTTTACATGTAGTCATATTGCATGAAACAAATCTATATTTGTATTTTATGCTTAAAATTATAGTTTAGATATTTAAATGTTTAAATTTTTTTTTATTTAATTGTTTAAAAATCAAAGGG